CCAGATTCCTGTCCCAATTCCTGTCTCAAGAACAGGATTAGGTTGAAGCTCAGCTCAACAGAATGGGACTGGGTTGTTTAACAGCATATTAGAACAGTTCCATGGGAGCTAGAATTAAGATAGAATTGGGACCAGAATCAAAATCTAGCTAATAGAATGGGCCTGGAATCTGGCTATGACAAAATAGAATAGAACTAGGATTTCAATATTATATATAGAACAGAACTGGTAAAGTGTAGAATGGGACTGAAAATTCCAGTTTCATTTATGTTGTCAAAAGATAACAAAATTTGGTAACAGTTCTAATATAATTTTATCAATTTATTCAACTTTAAAAAGTAACAAAATTTGATAATACTCTTTGTATAATTAAATTATATTGCAAGCTATTAGACTTTGGCTACTTGAGTCTATTTATTAATAATATTAATATATTTTCTGTTTCTTATCTGAATTAAGTAGTGAATTTAGCAGGCTTGCAATCTCTTCTCATACAATCTCTAAAATATCTTAATTATTTTAATTATCTTGAATAATTTTCTTGACTAACTTCTTATGCAATATAAGTGCTTTATTTAGTATATGCATCTTGTCTTTATGTTTAAGTAGTATAATCTTCTTGATTATAGATGCATGAAGCTGTAATTATTATTAATAATATATATTTCAAGTAATATTGAAAACTTATTCTACTTCAATCTCTGTTAAAAATACAGCTAGAATATCTCTTGCTATTCAAGTAACAGTTGAAAAATCAGACTCTAGTATTCTTTACTGTTCCAGAATTAGAGCTCAAGATGATATCAAATTCTTATTATTTAAATATTGCTTCATTTTATTTTGAAAATTTGCTTGTCTTTAATAAGATCTCTCAAAAATCATTTACTTAATATCTTAGAGAAGTTAGCAGAGAGAAAATCAGAATAATACTTATAATAAATATACATTATTTATATCAAGTATTACTTCTCTTGACTGTTTATATTTCTTATAATACTTTTTGTAAAATCTTGAAATATATTATCAGTATGTTTTACACTTATTACTGATTCAATTCTCTAAATTATATGCTCTTATATAGTGTAATAAATGAAGAATAGTAGCTACAGCTAGCAGCTTACTCTTTAAATACTTAGTATTACTATAGTATCTCTGGAATTTTAAGTTGGCAGCTTTGATAGCTTTTTTAATATTTTCTCTTATTATTAACTGTTGGGTCTTGTCCTTCTCTCTTTCTAAGTACTGGAACAGATGATTATAGATTATTTATACTAGATGAATTATTGAATCTGTTATTTTAGATAGTATCTTGATAAATTAACTGAATAGCTGTAACAGTTTAATTATATACTCTATCTGCTTTCAGTTATGATTTAATAAGCAAAGTCTTTAGCATTTTGATGATAAGTTTTAAATTCATGAATTTACAGCTTGTTAAAGCAACAAGATACAAACACATATCTTATAGATGAAATTCTACCTTGTATGAATATCTTGAATTATCTTGTACTAATTCTCTTGTTAATATTCTCAGAAATATGCAGTAAGTTACAGAAAGATATTGATTATATTAGCAATAAGACAAATCTATTATTAAGCAAAAATTAGTAAATTAACTCAAGTATATCAAGATTATTATTAAATTTTATTATCTTTCCAAGTATTTGCAAATATATCTGTTGATGTTAGATTATCAGTAATTAAGCTCTTATTAAAGATAGTAGATAGAGTATTATTATCTGGCTAAATCTTGAGATTATAAACCAGCTCTCAAATTATAAGTTAAATTACATAAGCAAGATAGAGTATTGTTTTACTGTCTGCATTCTAATTAGTTATCTTGTTTAACTACTGTAATGCTGGTCTCAACTGATGTATAAGATGTGCTCATATAATACTACTGTTTGATGTATTATTACTTGTAATTACAAGAAGATTGCTCTTAAGTCTCCATATTATTAATAATTGTTAGAGAATCTCTATTATATTTTTGCCAGTATAAGTACTTTCTAAACTTTTAAAATTCAGTAAATACTTACAGTACTCTTAATTCTTTGTAATGTAATCATTAATTATCATAAAGACAAGATTATTGAGACTTCTTCAATTATTCACCACCAGAGATATCTTGATTATTAGATTATAATTAAAGAGGAGATTTCAGAATAGCCAATTATATATATTATTTCTAATCTGATATAATATTTCTCATGTGGCTATCTGTAATGCTATCATAGAGTTGAGCATGATTATTAATATGTAAAATACTGAATTTTTGATAGCATAAAATGAGAGATTCAAGAATATTAATATTTGTATAAGCTGCCAGAGAAAATTATCTTAATTGCATTCAGAAACAGACAGATCTGAATCTGTTCAAGAATACTTTGAAAATTGTTGTTAAGACACCAGAACTATTACTAAAATTCATTATATTTGGAAAATTAGAATTCATGATTTATCATTATGTCAATCAGAGTATTACTCTGTCTGTCACTAGTTTTTATATAATCTTTGCTGATTAAATACTTCTCCAGATCACTTGTATCATTTCAAGAAAAGCTTGAATAACTGAAAGAGATTTGATAATGCTTGCAAATCACTTCTGAAGTGCTTTTAGAATACTCTGCCATCTGATTAAATTTTGACTAAAAATCAGAATAACATTGCTTTGTCTTCTAGTTGAGATCATCATGCTTCTTATTCTTAATTAACTGAGCAGCTTTAATAGTTAATCACTAAGTAACAAACAACTTATAATACTGCTCCTTTTATAATACAAATTGTTTTTTTCTATGTTAAACTATAGTTAATTCTGAAAAAGTTTCTGTAGATTTTACTTGTTTGCTGGCTTCAGCCATTTAATTAAATTTTTTTTTCATAATTAAATTGATTTTTCTAAGTTCTGTTTTAGTTAAAAAAGTAACAAAATTTGGTAACAGTTCAAGTAAAATTTGACAACTTTCAGCTAGTTAGACTTATTTTATTCTGCACAGTAATCAACTATAAAATTATTATCATCTATAAAATAGAATATTCTTCTTCAGAAAAATAAAATATTTTGCCAATTTAATAGTGCTCCATTCTCAAATTAATATAAAAAAAGAACTAAAAACCTAATTTTCTTCTCTAGATATTAATAATTCAATTATTATTCATCTTATTATTCATCTTATTATTCTTATTAGAGAACACCACAATCTTAAAATTATCTTTCTTCATCTTTTCTAAAGCAGGCAGACTGTTGTTGTCTTTAATCAGATTCTGTAATTAGCTCAGAAATTCTCTTATCTTCTTCTTAATTCTCTCTCTCAATACATTAACCACAGCAAGATAATTATAATTATACACCATAATCTTAGTCTCAAGCTTAGCTATTATTTAACAGAATCAGGCTTGCTTATATACAGCAATAATATGCTACAGCTGGCTTGTTTTAATTTAAATATATCAGAACTGTTATCAAATTTTATTATTTTTAAATTTTATCTTCTTGTTCTGCTGAGCTTTATTCTTAGTCTCTGTAATTTTTTCTCAGTAATACTTCTTTTTCTGTTCTCTTTTCTTTTGCTGAGATATTATAAGCTAGTGCTTATAATATTTCTTTAACTTATTCTTGATAAATTACTTAATTATTAACTGTTCAATAGCTTTATTCTTAATCATCTTGTAATTCTTCTTACTGCTATTCTGTCTGTAATAAATATTAATATAATTTAATGCAAATTACTAAGAGTGCATACTACTTATATTTAACTCAGATTCTCTTCAATATATTATAGTGTATCTTGTGATCTGTTTCTTCTATCTTCAATATATCTTTTTAATAATCTTTCAAGACCTAACAGTACTCTTATGCTGTACAGATCTTCTCTCTTATTAAATATTACTTTAGCTTCATCTTCATAATTATATGCAATAAGTTGAATTAACAACACTGCATGATAGAATTATAAAGTGTATTAACTACTTGTATAAAATAATTTCTATACATATTATTTATATTCTACAGATATATTACTATAGACAAGCTTAACATATTGTTGCTATACTAGCTACAGAATAATAAGAATATGAAGTGTATTAATCAAGTACTTGTATAGAATAATTACTATATATATTGTGTATATTCTACAGACATATTGCTATGGACAAGCTTAATATGTTGTTGCTATACTAGCTGCAGAATAATAATATAAGATTAGTCTCTATTTTCTTTTCTTTCTCTTTCTCTTCTTCTTCTTTCTCTTCAGAACTAATATTAATAATTTTCTTTCTCTCTTCTGATCTCTTTTTTTATTTACTGCTCTTCAACATCTCTCTGTATAACAAACTGTGCTGTAATAATGGGTTGTATTAAGAGATAAGTGCTTGCAGAATTCTGCTCTGATGCATATTATTTACTGATAAGATGTTAGTTTTTGGTGTATACATCTGTTTCACAGAGCCAGAGAGAAGTAGTACAAGACTGTATTAAAAGAATAAGCTCTAAAGAAGAGTAATTAGTATAAAGCTAATAAAGATATTAATCTGACTAACTTTAATTAGAAGAATCTCTGCCTTCACTCTCCAGTTTATAATTGAAAGTCTGGCACTTATATATCAAAAAGTAACAATTTTTAGTAACAGTCTTGATGCTAATTAATAAAATAGATGCTATCAAGAAAATCTGTTACTTTTAGAGCTTTATAGAGCTAATTCTTCTGGTAACTCTGTTTCAGTAATTAGTTCAGGAAATTACTTTGTTCTGTTATCAAGAACATAAATATTACTAGCAACATACTGTTATTAAGTTACTTCAGAAGACTACTGAAGTAATTTTGTGCACTCTGTTTAAGTATAAGTTACTATTAATAATAGCACCAATAATTATACTAAGTAATATAGGCTCTGTTATGATAATGGTGCACTATAAGCATATTATAATTAATGCTAATAATATGAAACTTATTCTTGACATCAGTACTATAACCAGATCAAACTATTTCAGTCTAATTAATATGCCTGATTGTTCTGTCTCTGCTGTTCCTATCTCTGCTGCCACTATCTGCTATTTGCATTCTGCTTTCACTCCATTAACTACTTCTGCTGCTGCTCCATCACCACTGCCACTGCCTACTACTATTTCTCTGTCTTCCCTCAGCACTAATAGGGTCTCCATCCATCAAATAGCAGATATTAGAGTCTCTGTCTGGTTCACAAAGCCAGTTCTGGAGAAGCAGAAGAAGAAGAAGAAGAAGAAGAAGAAGAAGAAGAAGAGAAAAAAGAAGAAAGAGAAAGAGAATAATAATAATAACAAGAATAATAACAATAACAAGAATAATGAATTTGTTATTTAGATAGTTTCTAATTATTTGCTGGCTTCAGTCATTACTTAGTTTTAATACTTATTTTTTTTCTTTTACAATTAAATTGATTTTTCTAAGAGTTCTATCTTCATCAAAAAAGTAATAAAATTTGGTAACAGTCTATGCAAAATTTGACCAGTTTGACTCTTGATATAATAGAGCTGGAAAACCTGGTCCCATTTCAGTCTTACTATAGATTTAGCCAGAATAAGAAATAAGAGTCTATCTTTTCTGCTAAAATGGAACATAGAACATAATTTTCTATTTGAGAACAGGACTGGGAAATAATTTATGGAATAGTGATAGGAATAGAATCTCAAGGTCTTGAGTAGAATAGAACATGAAACTGAGATTTCATATTTGGAATCCTGGCTGTTTCTAAATTCAGGACCAGAACCAGCTTCAATAGGAAATGGAATCCTGTTCCAGTTCTGAATACCAGTCTAGACTAAAGAGTCAGATATTTAGAACTACAATACTATTCTAGAACAACTTTTCCATATGTACAACAATTCTAATAAGATAGTAAAAGCTGAAAATAGACTGCATGTTTTTAATTAAGAATCTGATTTCTTGCCAGTCTATATAGCAAGATTTAAGTGAATTCTCTATAAAGCTAGAGCTTAAGATTTGCCTAACACTACAAAGATTGCTATATTTTATCAAGGTTCTAATTTTAATATTTATAATTATCTAGCTCAGCAGCTCAATTTTCTATAAATCTACAAGAAGTTTTTTGTACAGCTTAGCAGATATTTTCTCACTCTTTCAGTTCTTCACTCACTACTAATCACAATTATGGTAACTCTATAAATTTCAATACAACTCACATTAACTTTATTAACTTAGATGACCACCAACTTTCTTTTATCAAATGCCAAACTGCACTATGAATCAATGGCATACAAAACTCAAATACTGAGAAAGAGGAAGCCTGAATTAATAAGAAAATAAGAAAACTGGCTAAGTAATTTCTTAATTTCTTGATTTCTTTCTTTCTTTCTTTTTCTCTTTTCTTTTCTTCTTATCTGCTAGTTTGAGCTTATATAACAGTTTACTTTGCTACTTTAGAGCAAGCACTTTAAACAGGAAAGTAATATTACAGCAGCACTATACTATCTTCAGATCAAGATTATTCTGCTACTCTAAGCTCTAGTGGCTTGATCTTCAGCTATATCTTTATATATAGTACTTTGTACAAGTCTTCTTCCTGTTATAAATATAGGCCAACCAAGCATCAGATAACATCAGATGTTCAGAGAAACTCACATAACTCATAACTCTGAATGTATAAGAATTGCAAGATTTGCATAAATTGTGGAAATCTCAGTATTCAGTCTTCTAGTTAGAGAATCTTTATGTTCTATGCATAACTCCCTTCTATTAGTTGTGAGCATTAAATCTACTTAACTTTTTTGTAACTCTAATTCTGGAACCATTTATAAAATCTATATTAGGTTCTCTAATATTCTGCACACTTTGACATATATTTGTCTAAGTTGGTACAATGCTAACAAGATTTACAAGACAAACCATGACAATATCTCATGTTGCAGATCCAATAGAGACAAATATTAATGTGGAGAAAACAAACAATAATAAAGATATTGAAAGTAGTGAAGTAATTATTAGTGAAACACCAGCTAATAATACAGACAACAGAGATATATTCTTGAATACATCAGATAAAACTAAAAGAAAAAAACTCTTGAAGAAAAGAAAACACATCTGCAAAAGAATCTAGCAGATATATATAAATAAAATAAAATATACAGATTTCAGAAGCAGATTAAATATAAACAAAAATTAGTAAATGATAATTTTTCTTTAGAGTTTCTCTTGCAGATGTGACTGATAGAGAAATCAGATAATCTTGATAATATAAAATCTTTAAAAGTATCTTATTATTATGACAAATCACTTGATAAGTGTAAAATGTAGTTAGTCTTAATAAGACAGTAGTTTCACCTGAGAAAATTACTATATAGAGTAATAAATACTGTTAGAATTAATTGAGCATTCAACCACTTTCATAACAAATCTCAGATGCACTAGCAGATATTGAAAATAAAGAGAGAATAATTATTTACATTATGAAACAAGTTTAAAATATAGTGTAAGAACAATATCACATTTGAAATAACTTGCAGTTGAGATACAATACAGTAATACTATAATACTATTCAATTGAAGAACCAGTCTGTACTCTTATTTTTTATATATATTGCTAAACTTAAATAAGATTTGAATAATTTATCAGATAAATTCTTCTGCATACTCTTTCTACAAATAAAGCTTAGATCAAATATTCAACTAAAGCTTGATAAAAATACTAATTATGAACAGTTGCAGAACTAAGAGAGCAAGTAACTCTTATTAAATTAATCTCAGAAAAGAAGAAACAAAGTCTGTAGAACAAGAATCTAAATAAGAAGAAACAGAGAATCTTAATCTCTTAGAGAAGAAATGTATTTCAACAAGATAATAAAGAAAGTCTTTTATAAACAAAAAAGATATCTGTAAAATTACTTTTAAAGTTATTAAAAAAGAAACATAAATAACAAATAAATGAAAAGCTCTATCTAAAATATAATTAAGCAGGCTACAGAGCAAAGTTCTGTATAAATAGTTTGAACAAGTTCCAGTAAATATACAAGATCTAAGTTAAACATGAGAAAGATGAGATATTAACTTAATAGAGAAGGCAAGCAGATGCAGTATATGTCTGTCAACTATACTGACTATATTATCAGATGATTTTATAAAGCAAGCTGCACTATTAAACTCAGATACTACAATAAACAGTATTTTCTATAAACTAGTATTTCAACTGAATGGAGATCAATCAGAGATGTCTATAGAAGTTATTAAGATGTTGAATAGAGCTAAGACCAACTGATATAATATCTGTAAGACCCAACTTACTATAATGAATCTTATAAGAATTATAAAGATAGTAAGACAAATATTTGTGGTAATCAATATGGTTAATATAAATATAGTTCTAGATATGCCATGATTGAAAGACTTCAATTCAGATATTAACTAGAAGAATGAGACATGGTGTTACTAAGTCTCAGTAAAATTAATTAAACTTCTGAATGCAGATAGATTTCTTTAAATAATATACAACAACCACACTCTTTTCACAACTCAGCCAGTTCTTATTCAAACTGGATAAAACTATATTTATTTGAAAGCTATTTCTCTACCTAACAAGCCTTCCAATTTTCTTGTGAATTGGCTTGGTGGTTATTGAGATATAAGTGGAAATAAATGGTGCCAGCCTCATGCCTGTCAGAAACACTTCTCACACTATTACTTAGCAACCACATGGTCTTTTCATCTGAATTTTGAGAGACAAGCTCAATAATACTCTTTAAACAAACTACCAAATTCTCTTTACTATATCTTTACTATTTGTTGTGTTATTACACTTTTTTTATCTGAAAAATCTCTTACCAAACACTCTGATTTTGATTTTTCTTAAGACTCTTGCTTACTCACACTTTGTTGAGGTATGCCAAGCAAGCTAAAGCTCTTATCTTATCTACTCTTATCTCTTCTCTCTATCTCTTCTCATCTGATCTTTGCTCCCCAGGCTTCACACCAGCACTAAATCAGTTCTATTAACTTGATACTCTTAATATAGCTTAGCCAAATTAATTCCTGCAAATTCTGACCAAATTCTACTAAATACTAGTATATTCTATACTGTTTAGTAGCTGAGAAATCAGAATCAATTAGTGAAAAATAGCTTTTCAAATACTTATAGTAACTAAGTTTTTGGACTAGAAACAAGCTATAATATAAACTATCTTGTAAATCATAGCAGTTTTTATTAAATTTTCTGCATTTAAGAAAAAAATCAAGCTAGATTTCTAGTGACTTAACAGGTTTGCTATCTTTTCCATCTGATAAAAGATATGCTAGCTTTTTGGTGCTGCTATATCTGAAAAAACCAGCTACTCTTCTCACTTTTCTGCTCTGAATATATCTTATTTTTATAATATTGGCTCTGGTATCTTGAATGTAAGTCTTTACTACTAAATTTAAGAATATTTTCAGCTGATTTCTGAAAGCTTCTCTGCAAAAAGCTCTCTAGTTTGACACTTCTCTTTAAAAGATATACTTGCTAGTATTAATCTAACTGATTTTTGAGACATAATTACTCATATATCTTAGATTTACTAGCTTGCTCTCTTGCTCTCTAAAGTTTCAATAGTTTTTTCATAGTTTTTACTCTAAAAGTGTTATGAATCTTGCAGCACAACAACAGAATACACAGAATGATTGAATGACATCTGACAAGACAGAATCATAAACCATTACAGAAGAACCTTAAGATAAGAATCATATGACCAACAATAGGACTGATAAGCTGACTGATCACACTGAGCACAATAGAATTGATCAGAGAATATAGGAAACATATTGCAGTAGAACAGATAGAACAGCTTAGTGGAACTATCACCAGAAAAGTATCATGTATATAAGAACACTCATTACCAGAGATTCAATAGACTTGTTCATCATGATCAATCTTCTTATTTATTTACTAGATATCTTTGAATCAGATACTTTTATATCCTGATTACTTTCTATACTACTGAAGTTCTGTAATACTGTACAACTGTACCTGATTCTACTACTTTTGAAAAGACTCTATAGTCTTGCTCTGACTCTGTTACACCTGCATGAAAACTCTTTGTCATCAGAGCAAGACTGCCAGCTTAATCAGAGCATTATTAAACTATTAATCACTATCCTAATCTGTTATTACTTACTGTGATACTCTTTGACCCTAATGATTCAAGAGTATTATGTGAATATATAACATATTAATTATCCCTGACTCAGAAAAGAATACACCTGAAATCTCAGAGATTATGTACAAAGAAAGAACTTTTCACATCACATTAAAAGATAAAGATATGATCTTATTCTACATCAAGATCTAATAGAATATAGGAACTATATCTGCATTTAAA